ATTTATAGCAATACTAAAGAACAACTTGACAAGTTGCTCAACATTCCTCATTTTAATGCAGTGGTAACTGCATGCTTTTTCATGTAAAAAGGCTACAATATTATGACTTTTTTTCTCATAATACTATGACTTTAATCTTGTAGTATTACGACTTTAATCCCGTAATATTATGACTTTATTGTCGTAATTAAAAAAATCTTGTTGTGTGGCCCTATACTCCGTCGTAATTTTCAAATTAAACTTAAAATTTTTAAAATTTAAATCTGAACCAGAGCCAGAGGGGAGACGTCATAAAGTAGGGTCTGTACCCGAGCATTATGAGAACTTTTTTGGCAAATCTAAAACAATAATAGTAAGGCACAAAGCCAAAGAGAATCTTCCAGCGTGGGATCTCTGTTGAACTCACTGGTATAAAATAGATCAATATATCATTAATTAGTTAATTACAAAAGAAACCCAAATGAAATTAAACACGTAAAATAAGCACATTGTTTGTTGTTGACTGTTATCACTTCTCAGAGGACTACGGGCAGCAGCTCAGACGGAACAGAGGACTCCGATTTTTCTGCAGATCTCGAACACACTGAAGCTGCCGAGAACCTGCGCAGGCGTAGTAGCGTGCGCCTGACTCGATCGTCCCTGCGTCTCAGCCAGAGCTCACAAGGTACTAAAAAAACCCACTGTTATCACCTTCCTTTCTCACTTCTTATCTGCAGCAGTGTGTACATAGTGCGTTTTTAAAAACTAACATTAATATCTGTGAGAAAAATGAGTTCAAACAGGAAGCCCAACTTGGATCTTGCAAAACATTTAATTTACCATAATATTCCCATTCAACACCAGTTTAGTTAAGAGCCACCACCWAGCAAGAGTCATCATGGAGGTCGAGGAACTGCACACACACGTCTGAGACATAGTTGTAGAGAAGTACATATCAGGTTTAAGTAATGAATTTATTCTAAACCCTGAATATCTCACAAAGCAACATTAAAATTATTATTACAAAATCATAAGATTATGCCATCACAGCAAACCTTCCAAAGGAGGGTCTTCACCAAAACGCACAAACTGGGCAAGAAAGGCATTAAATAAACATTTACTTCAACTGTAAATCAAAGACTGTAAAAATACTTTAGACTAATATATTTGACCCATCATATCAAACTGAGGATTAAGTCAAATTTGGTCAAAATGACCTAACAACATTTTCACATTCCTGCTTTAAAAGCTACATTTTGATTCCTGGATCATTCTGATATCATCAGCTTATCCACAGATTTGACTTGATTTGTCTTGTTTGTTACAATAATACATTACTGTTTGGTCTGAATCCTAATTTTATGTAAATTTATTCAGTCATTTTTGATGTTAATATAAAGAGGAAACCTCAAATAGTTGTATATTAAGATTTCACAGTTGGAAAGAAACAAAAACCTTGCTAGCTCACAGTGAAAA